TGTCCCGGGCCCCGTGGCAGGGACCCCTTGGCCCTGCAGGGCTCTCAGATGTCCCCACAGAAGGTGCCAGCCCAGATCCCTCCAAGGAGGCTCCAGCCCAGCTCTCGGGGGCCAGGGCTGCTGGGGATGCACAGCTCCGTTCCAGAGCTGCCGTGCTGGCTCTCGTGGGGCTCTCGTGTCCTTCCCCCTGGCAGGAGGAGCAGCAGGAGCCCCTAAAGATAGAAACTCAGGAGAGGCAGCGCCGGCAGCGCTGCTGACGTCAGGGGACACGGCTGGCAGGAGCCTCAGGGGAGCCGAGGCACTCAAACCTTCCTGCAGGGCGAGCACGGCGAGGACAGCCGGGCTGGGGCCGTGCCGGGCAGGGCACAGTGCCAGGGGCTGGAGGGGGCAGTCGGAGTGGCAGCGGCTGAGCCACGGGGCTGGGGCTGTGCTGGGAGTGCCCTGCTTGGACGTGGGTCTGGAACTGATGCCCCTGGGATGTGGGTCTGGGGCTGATGCACACAAAGACCAAGCCAGGAGCTTTAATCACAGAGCCCAGGGATGGCTCAGGCAGGAAAGGTCCTTAAATCCCATCTCATCCCACCCCTGCCAGGGCAGGGACACCTCCCACTGTCCCAGGGTGCTCCCAGCCCCATCCAGCCTGGCCTGGGCACTGCCAGGGATCCAGGGGCAGCCCCAGCTGCTCTGGGCACCTGTGCCAGGGCCTCGCACCCTCAGCCTGTGCTCCCCAGCAGGCACAGCGGCTCCAGGTGCTGACCCAGCACAGGTGGGGTCTCCTGTGCGTTCCCCCCAGCAGGAACCATCCCAAAGCATCCCACCGGTTGGGAAGTCCCGTGGCTGCTGCTCTTTCCTCCCGACACGGGGCCCTGAGCGGGTCCTGCGCTCCTGGCCCGGCCGAGCCCCGCTGCTGGCACAGCCAGGCCCCCAGCCTGCCTATCCTCACCTGGTGATCTCCTCCTTCAGCGCCGCGGGGTCCGTGGGGTAGAACTTGACACGGAAGCACATGGTGAAGGGGGGCTGGGCTGCAGGGAGCAGGGGCAGCGTGTCACCGAGGGCAGGGCTGTCCCCTGCACCCCTGCACCCCCCGAGCCAGGTCCTGCTCGGGTCTCGCCTGCCTTGCTCCCCCCGACTGCCCCTGGGGAGGAGGGGCAGAGCCTCCTCCCCGAGTGGCCGTGGCACAGATGTCCCTGGCAAAGCTGTGGGACGGTGCCAGGGGCTCTGTCTGCCCAGCACCCACCCCACTCCCCGCTCCCAAAGGTCCCTTCCTCGCCCCATCATTCCTGTGCTGCTCTCCCTGGGGCAGCTGCCCCGTGCTGCCTGGGGCTGCCGTGGGGCTGTGGGGATCATCCTGCTCTCAGCCCACCAGAGCAGCTTCTGGGGGAGCTGTTCCTGGGAGAGGGGCTGGGAACTGACCCCCGGGGGGACAGGCTGGAGAAAACGGGAATACATCTGAGCTGGAAGGAGCAGAGTCTGCCCAGACCTGCTCAACACTCACCCCGCATCTGCTTCACAACCGACTTGGTGAACTCCAGCCAGTGCTGAAAGGAAAAGAGGCAATTAGAGCCCGACAGCCGTGCCTGGACAAGGTGGGGAGGGTGAGGAAGAGGAGGCTCCTGCTCTGGGTGAGAAAAGCCACCTGAGTGCGGGTGAGTGGCCCTGGGAGGGAGCTGGGGAGCTGCAGGCTCGGGCCGGTCGTGCCCGCAGTGAGGGCACAGCCCCGTGCCCAGCTCCGTGCCCAGCTCCATGCCCAGCATCGGCTGCTCCCGGTGACGGGGGGCAGAGGAGCCCCGGGAGCAGGAAGTGGATGTTCTGTGGCCGGGAGCAGGAATTGGATGTTCTGTGGCCGGGAGCAGGAATCGGCTGCTCTGTGGCTGGCACTGATTGCTGGGGAGCACATCCACAGCTGTGCCCGTGAGCTCGGGGCTCTAAGGGCAAGGAGGGACCGAAGGGGCCCCGGAGCTCATTCTGCACCGGCCCTGCTTGAGGCCAGGGCAGGGGCACTCCCACAGCCCTGGCGTGGGGATCCAGCCCACCCACCCGGGGCTCTGTGCCCACCCACCCGGGGCTCTGTGCCCATCAACCTGGGGCCGGCACACATGGATCCAAGCCAGGAGCTGGGCCAGGCCGGCTCCTGCCCGGCTCTGGCTCCTGCCTGGCTCTGGCTCCTGCCCGGCTCTGGCTCCTGCCCGGCTCTGGCTCCTGCCCGGCACCGGCTCCTGCCCGGCTCTGGCTCCTGCCTGGCTCTGGCTCCTGCTCTCGCTGCCCATGCCCGAGGCAGCGCCTGAGCTTTGGCTCCTGGGCACGGAGCCGTCACACGGCCCAGTCCCGGTGTCAAATCGTGAATCCGAGCTGTGAATCCGCCCTGCTGCCCGCTGCCAGGGCGCCTGGCTCTCGCTCACTGCAGCAGCAGCGCGTTCTCTCGCCCTGCAGGCTCCGGGGTGGCAGGGGGCTCCCTCTCACCCTTTGCTTGTCGGGGTCCACAAAGCGGATGCCGAAGTAATCCTTCTCCAGCAGGTTCAGGTGGTGGCACAGAAGGTCGAACAGGTACTGGCCCTTGGCATCTCTCTGCAGGACAAAGAGACTCAGTGGCAGCGCAGGGCGGCGGGGCCGAGCTCGGGGATGTGTGTGAGGGCTCCGGAGCTTGTGAAGCGACGCCGAGGACAGCGCAAACCCCGCACAGCTCCCCGTGGGACATTCCCGGCTCCGGAGCCAGCTCCCATCCCGCCTGGGGGCAGCTGAGTCGGTTGTGCCCCGTAAGAAGGGATGGAAACCCCCAGGCCCAGGCGGGACCGGCCCGGTACCTCCCCGGGAGGAAATTCCACACCTGGGCCGGCTCTGCGGGGGAGATCATCGCCCCGGTTAAAAGCATTATCGCCCTGCAGGATGTCTCGTAGCGGGCTCTCCTCACCTCGCCCACGCCCAGCTTGCTGCTAAACAAAGGTCGCTTTGTGCGGTCAGCCCCGGCCGCTCATCCGCTCTGCCCCGGGCTGCTCCCGTGCAGAGATTTGGCCACCACCCCCCAAAATTCTCCTCCTCCCTGGAGCGGGGGCTGCCAACCCTGCTGCTTTGCAGCGGCCCATCGTGCGAGCGACGGCCGCCGCACACCGCGGTGCCCCCGCGGCTGCCGGTGACTGAGCCGGGGCTGAGCCGGGAGCCCGGGGCTGCGGTGTTTGTGTGTGAATAAAGCGACTTTTGGCTTTCATAGCCC